TTAGTTGAATTCAAACACCTATAGTATTTAGATGCCAATAAAATATTCACCTCTGAAAGGACAAAAAAAAGGACACAGAGGAAAGACCATTTTGTATTTATATATACAAAATAGTTAGGATAAATTTACAGCTACTTTCGCTCAATTCAATGAGAAGAAAGAAGTGTACTAACAGTGCTTGGACAGAATATTCTATCCGCTTCTTGCACTATGGATAACCACTAAGAAGATAACAATGTACAGTGTATTGACTATCAAAACCGTCCTATTAATCAGCTGTGAAACTGTCTCATTCATATTTATTTCTTAATAAAAAATAAATATAAAAAAGATAACTAGGAGTGGTTGGAAAAATTGTAAATAAGTTGATATACTCATCAAGTTAGACAGAGAGTTTTTTTCATAATTTTATTGATATACAGATAGCAATGAGACAGTTTCAAATCAAATCAGTAGGACAGTTTCATAACTAACACACTGCATATATTCTTCTTAGTGGTTAATTGCTGTACAAGATGCGGACTTGAGATACTATTTACAAACACCATTAGAACAAATCATCCTATTCATTAAGAAAATGTAACTATATATCTATCCTAACCACTTTGAATACACAGATACAAAATGGACACTCATCTGTATACCCCTTTTTTTCTAAGTTCCGTTATTTGAATATCATAGGTATGTAAACTCAGCAAACTATTCTAAAAGAGTCCAGTAACCCATAATAGCATTGAGTCTTCTGTTTAACTGGCAATGTCAGAAATTATTGACCTGAGTCCCCCACAGCTCAACATAACAGCATGGCTTTACTTCCTATATTTCGTCTTCATACTTTTCTACTGGATGGTTAAGACCAAGGTAAAGCAGGACCTGTGCATCAAGAGTTGTAGCTTTTTGGTCTGAGAAGGTCAGTGAAATCCCCTCAGGATTTATCCTGAGATCCTAGACAGAAAGTTTTATGTTTACTGGAGAAAAGATGAACTTGAATCATGGAAGCTGAATTTGAAGGTCTATTCCACTACTTGTAGACTGCTTGACTTTTGACAAATTAGGTACCCTGAATTTTTCATCTATACATTGTTAAAAATAAACTGGACTTGATTGAAGTGTGGAAAAATTAAATATAAATGCATATCAGCCAATTAAAATTGTTAATTACCTTTCATTCTATCTCTTTCATTCATCACTATTTCATTAGAGATTTAACTTATAATCACCGATGGTTTGGAGTCTGTTCCCATTATAGACTGACAGACCCCAAGGTTATGTTTCCCAGATTGGCCCTGCCATGGTATAGATTGCTTGTTCTACTGCTTTTGACAGTTTTACATATTCCTCCAGTGAAAGAGGTATCTGGGACTTCCCCTCTGGGCTCTCCTGACAGAAAATGAAATCTAGAAATAAAGTAATTTTCAAGAACCCCATAGATGTAATCTTTTCAAATTTATTTTGCTTATATGAAAGAAATTTATTTTCCTAGACATTTGTGATGCATGACAAATGATCCGAAGGAAAGTCTCTTTTTTTTCCCTAGACATGGTGAGGTGCCAAGTGACTTAAAGCCCAAACTGTGTCCTGCTGACTCTGAAGTTCTGTGCCAGTTACTTAATTGTTCTCTGCCAGTCTGGAATTTCAACACAAAATAAAACTTGAGTTTACAATTTTTTATGACTTTCAAAGCCAGTGTTAACTCAAAAGCAGTTTATGGAATAAATTATTAAATAATGAATGTCACAGTAGGTCCACTCCTTTTGACATAATTACTGAAAGAATTCCAGTAGAGAGCAAATAGTGAAATAATAATAACCGTATTTTAGTGGAATTATAGTATTTTATTGTTTTAACTAATAATTTAATCAACTTTACTTTTGGCAAATGAAAAAGATGCTTTAAAATAGTGAAGTGATTTTTGTAATTATTAATTTAATCTATATGAAAATCAGAGACTACAGATGAAATTATTATATCCATTCTGCAAATGAAATTAAGGCATGTGTAGATTATTTTGTCACAAATCTTGTTTAAGAAGTTATTTTATGATAAAATTTTATGAAAAATTTCTTCAAGATGCTCATACTTTTCCATATTCTTAGATATTTTATTCCATGAAAAATGTAATTTTTGTCAAAAACTTAGGTAATGCTGTATCATATAAATAACAAATATTGTTCTTCTATATTATACCAGAGCCTTTAAAATACATGAATTGTTTTTTGTTCATACAGAGGACTTTAAAGTTTTTTCACACATTTCATATCTATAAAGTCATTGAATTTTGAACATTAAAAAATAAAATAAAATGTATGAATCGCCAATCTCCAAATACTTTTGTCTTGCTTAGAACACATCATACAGCTCTAGATATTGTCACTGGGAAACTCCTTGTAGCAGAAAGAATAGCACTCCTACCTACGCTCCAGCTTGATATGTAAGTATGCCTGCTTGTTTTGAGGGTGCGCAGGTGCTCAAGGGCACTCTAATAGTACTTAAGAGGATCATCTACTGCCTACACATCTGTTTCTCTTATGATTCTATATTATTAACTCAAAAGACAAAATGTACCTCACTCATATCCCCCACATAGATGTGAACAAAACAAGCAGCCTTGTCTGTTTGGGAGGACACCTGAGATGCAGTTCACTAGATGAGACGTTCAAGATCTGCTCTTAGGCGTTTGAATTTGAAGTAGGAAATTCAATCAGTTGTTAGGTAGTTATTCTAAAGAACTGACATAAACTATTCAATCAAAAAGAAACACGGATAATTTGAAAGTTGTAAAACATGAGAGCATTAAAAACAAATTGTTCATTTATATAAATCTTTGGGAATCTCTACTAATATGACTGTATTAATGTAAAAATGCACAGACACACATGTACAGTTTTTAAAGCTTAGGAAATTGAAATTGAGAAGTGGAGATAATACTGGCTTCTTTAGGGTAGGTGTAGGAACTAACAGTGTTTGCAACCTGTTCACCTGCCATATAAGATTAAATGATGCCAATTTGTTTTAGCAATTTGCTGCTAGAGAAAATATATCTAAAGTTCAACAAATAAGTTACACATTACATTCAAGAGCATTGTCTGCTGTGGTAGCCAATACCTATAATCTCATCACTCAGGGAGCCGAGGAGGTAAGATCACCCTGAGTTCAAAGTCAGCCTCAGTTATGTAAACAAATTCAAAGCCAGCCTGCATTACACAGCCAGACCTTGTCTCAAACAAAAAAAATTAATTAATTAATTAAGTCAAAAGTGATTACTTGCAGGATTCAAGATCAATAGACAAAAAACAACTTTACTGTAATTTGAGTGCAAGCCCAAATTACACTGAAATATTATATTATCTAATTATAAAGACTATTAAAAACAAAAGGTACCCGTAAGGGTATAGAGAAAGAGGAACCTTCATACAATGCCAGCAGGTGTATTTAGTACAACTGTTATGGAAAAGCAACATGGAGATTCCCGAAAATGTAAAAAATAGGACTGTCACATGGTACAGCTATCACACCAGTGGAACTGAGTCAGTATCAAAGAAATATTTACACTCTCACGTTTATTGCAGTCCTGTTTTCAATAGCTATGATACAGAATGAACTTGGGTGTTTCTTGACAGATACATAGATCGACTATGTGCTACCTATACACAGTGGGATGTTATCTAGCCATAACAGAGAATGGAATCCCGTCACTTGCAGAGTCCTGGGAGGAAAGGGAGGATGCTTTTATGTGAAGAAGCAGCCACAGCACGGCATGTTCTCACTATGTGTGGATGCTATAGTTGACCCCAGGGAAGCAGAAAACAGAAGGTGGTTGCCAGGGCCTCATGGGTGTGTGGAGCAGGGTGGGAGAGTGGAGGGGGTGCAGTTTTAGAAGAGGAATCGCTTCTAATGTTCCATAGCACGGTGGGGTAGTCACGGTTGGCAAGAATTAATTTAATATTTCCAATAGCTATCAGGGAGGATTTGAGTGTTCTTAACACAAAGAAATGGATGTATGTCTGAGATGGTAATTATATCCATTACCCAGCTCTGTACATATGCTTAAGTTTATATTTTCCAAAATATGTACATGTACTGAAATGTTTCACTATACCCATGAATATGCACAATTTGGTGCTAGTGAAAACATTAAAAATTTTACTATCAAATTTTCAAAAATCAGACATATTTCTATGCAATAGTAATGAATACCTCCAAAATAAAATTAGGATAATTCCACATAAAACAGTATCTAAAAAATAAATCTTCAATTATATGTTGTAAAATAGTTTTAAAAGTATACAAGATCAATATCAAGGTATTAAATATGATTTTATAAATAGAAATATATTCCATATTTACATTTTGGGAGTTTATATTGTTAAGATGTTAATAATTGCCAAATTGAGCTAAAGATTTAAGATAGTCTACATCAAAATGTGTCTCACTTTTCTCTCATTGCTGGGACAAATACCAGAAACCCAAAATGAAAGAAAGAAAGGTTTATTTAGCTCAGAGTTTGTGGTGGGGCCGGGGTGATGGCTCAGTGGAATAAGCGCTTCCCTGGCAAGCGCAAGGGCCTGAGTTCAATCCCTGGTTCCGCCAAAAAAAAAAAAAAAACCCAAAACAGAGTTTGTGGAGGTTTCAGTCTATACTCAGCTGGCTCCAAGGCAGAGTGGCACATGGCACAGGGCAGCAGCTCATGTGGTAGCAAAGAGCAAGAGAGCAAAGTGCACTAATGGCAGCAACAATAGCTGCAGAGAGCAAGTCTGTCTCTCTTATGTTGCATTCAGGCTGTCTGCCCCAGAATGGGTGTAGCACTCACACCCATAATCTCAGCAGTACTCACACCCATAATCCCAGTGGATCATGAGTTAATCACAAGCTCTAGAATTCTGCCCCATGACTGCACGAGGCTTTGAGGGAGGGCAACTACACACAAACCATAACAAAATGCAACCTGTCTTCTCCATAAAAATTGGCAATATGAACTTAAGAGTCACCTACAAATAAAAGTGGTCCAGCATATTCTGAACAATCTGGAATGAAGGACAAGTTGGAGGAGCACCCAACTTTCTGGATGCAAATCATAAAGCCAGGGTAATCAATACAATGGTTATTAGTTTAAGGACAGAGAATCTGAGACAAAATTAAGAGTTCAGAGGTGGGGGGGAACATCTGTGGTCAATTCAATTCATTTTTCACAAGGTTTCTAAGGCAAAGAGTTTCAGAAAAATCTTAGAATTAATAGACAAAGCAAATTACACAATTAAAAATTGGATGAAGAATCTGAATATCTGAATAGAATTTCATCAATGAAGTTGTGCAAGTAACTAAGAAAAACATGAAAAGGTGTTCAATAGTATTAGTTGCTCAGGACGTACAAGACACTTGAGATGTTATTCCATACCCACTGGGATGGCTGAATAAAATGGAGGAAAACAAAAGCTAGCGAAGATACGGGAAGAGTGATTTTCAATCAGGCACAACTGAAAGGAATATAAAATGGTAGTCACTTTGGAATTTGGAGGTACAGATATTTTGCTGAGAAAATTGTTGAAAAAGCTCTAAAGTTATATTATGATGATAGTTACACAAATACACTAAAGACTACTTAACTGTATACTATAAATGACTGAACTGAATGTTATGTTAAAAATTTTTTAAAGGATGTTTTCTGTGAGTTCTCTAAGATACGTATTGTATTCAAATAACTGCAAGTGAAATTTCAAATTCATTTTATTCATATTAGAATTTGCATCAGTGGGCATTTGGGGAAAGAAGTATGAAAATTGATCTGAGACAAACTTTTCAAAATACTAAGGTTAGCACGACGAACACAGACACGACCCAGACACATTTGTTTACTTTTTTCTGAATGAGAGTCCCGTGAAGAAAAAAGAACTCGATCTTACACTGCCTTCTCCTATGCACTTACAGCTTTTCCCCAAAACACAAAAATGGCTGCTAGGTTATTAGCAATCTGGAGGGTAGTAGCAATTTGCAGACTTTAAGGACAGGATTTTTATGAAGGTGACTGCATGGGACATGAATATGGAATTTTTTAGGAGCTAAGCCAAATATGTAGCAATTTTTGGCTTTAATCTTTTCCCACTCTGCAATGTGTAGACTGACTTTAAATAATTTTATTTCAAATACATAGTGACATTTAATAATTCAGCTTTCTAAAGTGCTTTTATCTAATTTTCTTGATGTGTCATACTTTGTAACAGTGTTTTCTTTTTTGCTGTGTTAGTTATGGAATCTGAAGGCTGGTGCATGCTAGCCAAGCATTTTACCACTAACTAAAAATGCACACACACACACACACACACACACACCCCCACACACACTTGTATATCTATGTGTGTGTGTGTGTGTGTGTGTGTGTGTGTGTGTGCATATGTGTATT